CCCTGCCAGGCTGCTGCTCGAATGAAGGGTCTGGTAGGGGATTTTAGGGGGAGCCCCATGCATTTTGTTTGTTTTTTTGCAGTTAGTGTCCCACTAAAGTTCCTACCAGACCTAAGGGTTTAACAACAAAGTTCATGATGAATGACATTCAGAATTTTTTTTTTATACATCCAAATTTCATTATCGGAACATTTGAATACTTTTCAGATTCATTATTTTTTCATTTGGAAGTTCAGATGGATCCGAATGTCCGAATTTTGTATGAGTTTTAATTAGGGATGAAACAAATCACCTGTCTAGTATCTATCAGTACAGAGGTGTTAGTCCAGGAGATCCAGGCACAGGAGAGGTAAGTATGCAAACAAGGTGTTATATTTACATTAGCATGAGTTAATATAAATTTAAGTGTTAGGGTTACAAGAAGTTAGTTTGAGGAGGGATTAGAGTACATAACCTCTCTTAGTACAAAAGACTCTTCTGGAGTGGTTTCTTGGGTGGTGCTTCAAAAACAGCTAATCAGCAGATGTCTACTAAAAATTAGCCAGAGACATTTAACTAAAATGTACTCCTTAAAAGTTTAAAGCCACTTTAAGATGCATTCCTAGTTCCTACAAATATGTTAATACGAGATAATTTACATTAAGCAACTAATTTACAGTGAGCAACTAAGCAGATGAGCCACATACACCAGGGACCACAATTCAACATACTGCAGGTATAGATCTGATGCCAAGTAAAGGTTGATATCAGCAGGACAGATAGTATGCAGAACAGGACTTAAACCAAACATGAAAACAAGGCAGGCAATTAAGCATATTCCCTTCACCCCAATAAAACATGGAGCAGTGAGTGAACTTTCCATTAAAGCAAAGGAAGGTTAAAGCCCTGTACTTTATCAACGGGTAGTGCCTGTGACGCAAGCACCGGGTCTGAACCCGCTGTACATCAATCACACTTGACTTTACACAGTTCTGAACAAGGTGAGCCATCACAAGGACGTGTCAATACTACTCTCAGCCTCACCCTGCACAGAGATTTCCCAGCTCGTGGGACAACAATCTCTGGCCAGCAGACTGAGCGTGATTGTCACTAGGATTGGTTAACTCTTTACACACTAAACATGCACTGCCACCACATGTTTTTTTTAACAAAAACACAGTTCCAGCAAATGCTGTGACGATTCAAAATACCTAAACAAAGCCTAAGATACCACTGTCCTCTCAGGCAGGAATATGACAGGTCTCACTATACAGTAGCGCTCTTCACAGAGGCAAGGATACTTTAATTTCTTATTTAAAGCAATTCTTATTCTAGTCAAGACCAAAATTTGGTAGGCATATGACATATGCCTTGCCAAGGAGGTTTAATGTTACTTATCAGGCCCCGGACCATCATAATTGGTCCAATCTTGGTATGTATGTGTTCCTCTTGATGAGACACAGCTATTTGTGCCATTCATTTTCCACTATCACTGTCCAATTCCAAGTCATGAAATTGGGTTGATAATGCAACTCAGTATTATGACTTAAGTGTGACTCTGAGGTCTTTCCATTATGACACCTTTTAACGTAAGAGTAACATAACCTTCCAATTCTTTACATGCTTTCTCCAAATGTTTAGACTGATTCTGCCACATTTTTTAAACAATAAAGCATTAAAAACACTCAAACTCGCTGACCTTGGTCCAGCTTTTTTGACTTGGTTCCTGTTTCTGTATTTACAAATGCATAATGCATGTCATATTTTCATTACCATATGTTATTTACTTTTTACTTGATCTTTTTTACTTTTTACTTGATATATATATATTTTTTTAATTCACTAAAAGCTTTATTGTACATAGATAGATGTTTTTTATTGCCTAAATCAATTCACATAGTCTATTGAAAGCAGCAGGAAAGGTAAAGGTGTTTTAAACCTGCTTTTGTGGGATAAAATAACAATTCATGAGAAAAGAAGGCTTTGAGTTTAATGTTTATTTAATGTGATTTTAAAAAAGTCACCAAAGTATGTTTTGTTTGCACATTGAACCTTTATAGGAGAAAATTATTAAATCAAATAACATAACAAAATAGACCTGTTCCAAGTATAACATCTATATGTGCCAACACATACCTGAGGCAGCTTTCATTGCCTCTTTTATACTGAAATGCTGCACCTATTTAAGCAGGCAGAGCTACAGCACTTCTGGGTAATGTGGAAGCCCCCCCCCCCCCCCCCCCCCCCCCCCCACACACACACACACACACACACATTCCTACATGGGAGAGGATAGAAATATCACAAGTATCTATAAATCAGCAGCTCAACCTTATGCAGAACCCCTCTCTGCAATCCTGAAACATTTCAGTTGTGCCATTTCATCATTCCACCTTTCTAACTTGACTCTGCTAACTGGACCCTGCCCTGGATGTTAGGGAGCGAGATTTATTTTGTGAGTTCAATATTCTCTAGGAAATAATTCATGGCTCCCCTGTTACTACATCCCTTATTGTTCAGTGATTTTATAGCAAGAGGTGGGCACTAATGTTTTATGCAAGAACATCTTTATGAAGATTACAAATTAAAGGTTTAACCTCCACACATTGAAAGGCTTTTTCACAGTAAGAGATGTGAAAATGTGGAATAGACTTCCATAGGAGCAAGTTCTTGCCAACTCAATAGGTTTAATCTAAATGCACAAAATATGACTGGTGATTAATATTTATAGGTAATACTGCACATTGTTGATTCTAGGAGTATCTGATTGCCTTAGGGGATCAGGAATTAAGGGGTCTATTCACTAATCTGCCATATTCTTCCGAGTTAATAAACGACCCAAAGTGAAGTAGTCGAATGCTGTTCGGCTATTCACTTCAGGCTTGTACAGCTGATTTTACATCGGCTTGCTTCGCGCGGCTTCGGGTCGGCCGAAACCGATCCAGCAGGCTACTCTCTGCTGTTCGGCCTAATCTCATAAATGCCGAACAACAGTGAGTGAATAGCCGAGCGGCATTCGGCTCGGCTATTCTGCTCGGTACCTCTGTGGTACCGAGCAGATAAGAAAAACAGTTTAAAAAGTAGTAAAAAATAAAAATAGAAAAAGATTGGGTGGAGCTAGCAGTGACAGCCAGCTCCGCCCAACTGTTTTCTATTGGCTGGGTGGTTCTGCTGCTGTCAGAATAATTTTTTTTTAAATCACCCCATAGGAATGCATAGCTAGATTCCTATTGGCTATTTCACTTTGCAATAGCCAATAGCAAACTAGACATTGCACCCGCCCTCTGTTGCTGTCAATCACTAGAGGGGACCTGATGGAGAACTTCAGGTGCCCTCTGCTGATTGACAGCAGCAGTAGGCGTGTGCAATAGCTAGTTTGCTATTGGCTATTGCAAATTGAAATAGCCAATAGGAATCTAGCTATGCATTCCTATAGTCATTTTTTTAAATTATTATTCTGACGGCAGCCAACGGCTCCGATGTCAAAAAACAAAAACAAAAACAAAGCCAGGAAAGGTTTACTCTGCTCGATCAAGCAGAGTAAACCTTTCTGGGAGAAATAGTTTCTCTCCTGGGTAATAGCGGGGGACTCCCGGAAGGCGTCCGGGAGAGTTGGGCTGTCTGGAGATCAGTGTCCCTGGTTACCTGGTAACCAGGGACGCTGATCTGTCTGTGCAAGTGGCCGGAGCCAGCCGTGAGATGGCGGCTGGCTCCGCCCAGCAGTCAGTAGCAGGCTGTTCAGCCAGATTCCGCTTTCACCTCGGCTCAGTCGAGCCGAAGCATATGCCTTTGGCTTTACTGAGCCGCTCGGCCGACTTCGGGAGCTGTACGTGCTATAGTGAATAGCCCGTACAGCAGCCCTTCAGTTCTATTTAGACTATTATAAAGATCATTTTTCTTTCCTCTGGATCAGTTGTGAATTTAGGTTCTGTGGATCAGTGGCACAATTTTAGCCATAGCTGCCCACATGGATGCTATGGGGTATGGGGGGCCCATTACGGAGGCTGTTGAGACACATTAAACAATCACCTGATGAGAAAAGCTGGAGTCACCAGGATTATCAGTAGTTTTAGATCTCACTTTGCAGGCTGCGCAGTAAGGCACATTTGTTTAGTTGTCTTAGAACTTCTGCTATAGCCCATCTGAAATTAACACTTTATAGCTTATGTAAAAATCCCACAGTGTCTTCTCTGCTAAAACATGGCAAAACAGCTGAGGTTTGTAGTTGTGCAAAAATGTGTTTAAAGATGTTTTAGCAATCACAAAAAAATGTTGTGATTGCTATTATACTTATTGCTACCACAGTTCTTGTCTTTTTTTTTAATGACTCCTCAAGCACGTCTTTCAGCATTTCATTGCTGTGGTGGTGAGAGAGCTAAACATTTACACAATCTGATACATTTTATGCCGAAAAAAAACTGTGGAGCTACTAATAACAGTGCAGTTAGCTGGAAAATTAAAGTGACCCTGTCAGTACTGGGTCGTTTTTACATTAAATGATACCTGCTAAAAGAAGTGTGAATATAAATGCTTCTCTTGGCCCATTGGTTGACAGGGTCACTTTAATTTTAAAAGTGATTTCCCTACACAGCTTTCCTCCTTTTTTTCTGATAAGTTCTATCCACAGCACTTGTCGCTAGTAGTGTACTTACTATGCTGACAGTTCTACTGCTGGCTGTCTTTGATTTAGGCATAGTTTATGTTAAGATCAGTGACACGTATTGTCCCAGTTGACACTGCCAGGTTCCACTAAGACATTGAAATTTTGCTCCGTTGTAGCTATTGTTCAGTTGTTTAAATTCAATAGACATGTGCCTTATTTCAACCTGACTATGTAACCATACATGTTATTTCTATACATTTCTATTAGGGATGTTCAGATACCAGTGCCGATACTTGGCATTTTCATGAGAACTACCAGGGTTGCAGCGGTTGCAGCTGGGACCTAGTTCTGGTGCTCCACCACTGTCCTGAAATCATTAGTCTGTATTGTTTTAGAAAAAAACTGTCACATGACACTAAACAAAAATGTATCAGTACTTGTATCTGTGAGTACTTGGACAAGAATCAGTACTCATACTTGAAGAAATGGTATTGGTGCATACCTTATATATATTTATTTTAAAAAATCATACATTAAAACAGAGATGTACAAATCCGAGGAGCTCCGTATGCTCCTTTAAAAATGACAGCTGCCTCCTAACTTTTGAATTTTTCTCTAGTCTAGTCTAGAGCTGGAAAAGTATCTGTACATGTATTTGTACTTGTAAAGAGTGCGGTAGTTAGTATTTGAACAGTCCAAACCAGGCAAGAGCCCAGGCCCGGATGGCCTCACCACCCAATACTACAAAACATTTTCGGAAACCCTATTGCCCCATCTACACCAAGCGTACAATTCCCTGAACGCGACCACCCAACCACCCACCCAACATCTCGAGGCCCACATTACCGTAATCCCAAAAGAGGGTAAGGACCCTCAATGACAAACGTCCACGCCTGTCTTGGTCCCTACTTAAAACCCCAAAACTGAATGGCGGCCTAGATATCCCCGACATGTATACCTATTACAAAGTGACCCACCTTACCAGAGTGCTGCACTGGCACATACACGCCACTTCCAGGTTATGGGTATCCCTGGAGGAGACAATATCTGGAACACCCCTGTCTTCTTTGATATGGCTCAGGGAAGCACTCTGGCCCCCCATGCTGAGAGATCACCCTTTCATAGGAGCCACGCTCGGCATCTTCTCCGCGACACGACGCCTCAATACTCTTACCTCTCTTCACAGCCCCATGGAACCTCTGACACACAACAGGGACTTTCCTTCGGGTGCCACCAGGGACTTTACGTCCTACTGGGCCCAAGACCCTCCTATCAGAGCGCACCACTTTTTAAAATCCCACACTTTCCTCTCCAAAAGTGAGCTATCAGACCTCACGAGACGCGGCTCGCTCCCCTGGTGGGTATACTTTCAAATACGGCACTTTCTGACATCCACGGAGACCCGTCATTCCCATTCTAGGGCCTTAACCCCATTCGAGAGGACCTGCTCAGGAAACGGCCCAACAAGACACCTGATCTCCTGGCTGTATAGCCAGCTTCGGGTTGGTACCGCTCCCCACTCACTCAAACTACGCACCAAATGGGATCACGCGCTTGACATCACACTGACCGACGAATCATGGGCCGCAATTTGCACAGCGGCACACAAATGCACAATAAACAGCAGAATGCAGGAAACTAATTTCAAGCTGCTCACATTCTGGTACAGAACCCCGCAACTTCTCCACCGAATGTACCCAGAGCTTCCACCGACATGCTGGAGATGTCACACAGAAGAGGGAACCCTACCACATATCTTCTGGTCCTGTCCCCGCATACAACCGTTCTGGATGCAGGTCCATGATGCGATCCACACAATTACTAGCGCCCAAATACCCTTTACCCTGACAGTTTCCCTCCTACATTGGAAACCTAACACCCCAACAGGGGCCTCCAAGTCGATTCACAAACACCTCATCAATGCAGCACGCACGATTATCCCTCGCCACTGGCGTCAAGAACACACACCCACAATCAACGAATGGCTCATACAGGTCGGACATGTATATGAAATGGAAGAGCTGTTAGCCACTAGACAGGATACCCTAGACAATTTCAGGAAGACGTGGGCATGCTGGGCTCACTTTGTTACAACAACTGACTTCAAAGCAATGCAACAAGGCGACTCTTAAAAGACGGGTTACGATTAGCACCCTACCCTCAACCACGGTTCACTTCGCATTGCCTGACAACTACTCACTGGCCTTATCTACGCTAGGTTCACCCACCCCCACACCCCCCATACCCTGGTTCCAGCCACTTCCCCCCAGTCCACCTAACTCTACTCTTCGCACAACGAGCTCCCTCTATCCCGACTTTTAAGTGTCATGGACACATTTGCGAATAGGTACGGCACAGGGCACACGACTCGGCGCCTACGCGACCTTAAAGTTCACTCAAAGCAATCTCACTCACAGGCGCCTCACCACTGCATCTTCCTTGTTATGTGTGACCCGAGTCATTAAGAAGATCACACCTGCTCGACATTTATAGTCTGTGAACACTTGTATGTACTGCTCGTTGCCTCTTTCTTCCCCATACTGTTTCTACCGGACAGATGTTTGTTTGGATGTACATGTACATGACTGAAGCCTGACACTGTAACATCATTTATGCATGTTTAATTTCTGAAAATTCAATAAAAACATTTACAACAAAAAAAGTATTTGAACATAATTTGTTAACCTAATAGCCTAATTTCTATTATATTTTTGACCACTTAATATGAGGTCTTATGGAATACAGCAAGGATTAGTGTTGCTGATAAATTACTGTGCTTTTAGCCTGATCTAAAAATATCTAAAGATGGCTTTAAAATGTAGTTTATTAGTGACTGAGGTTACCTTGTGTCCAGAATTCAGCTCCCATGAGTGTCTATAGCTTAATAATAATTCTCCCTGTGTATTTGTTTTTTTTTTCTAAGTGTTCAAATTCATCCCATAGCCAAATACATACAGGTAGGTTACAGTAATTGATTTATTCCTAAATACTCCGAGTTGGTACGGACCATTTTGATGTTAGATTGTAAGCTCCTCCATTGAACTGAAATAAAATGAACAGTTCTGTGTGCAGTGTAAAGCTCTGTAACATAGACATGCTATACAAATGAGTAATATAAATAGGTTGTATAAAGGATAATGTAAGGGTTGCTTTGTAAAGACAGACCTTTTTTATCTTATCATCCTGTCTTCATCTTAATCAGTACATGTTGAATCCTCTGACTTTCTATTTGACATTCAACTACAATATGTGTAGTAAAATTATCATTCCAATGGGAAACATATGGAATGAATATTCAGTGTAGCTATTTTTTTTAGCAGAAATTGGTATTCCATCATCAATGCACATTTTAAAGCGTGTCATGTCTTGAATATTACTTGTATATTAATTTGATCTCATTATTACCAACAATCAACATACAAATCAGACCATTTGTGGCACAACAATATGCTGGTCGATTTTCTAATATACCTTTTATTCCTGCCATACCTACCTTTGCTATGTTTAATATATTTTAATCTACATATGTTAATGAAATATTGTTATCCTTATGACAATGATTGTTTTTTGAATGGGATGCAATGGAGTTGATTTACTAAAAACAATTAGGCTGTTCACTTTGCAAGGGAATTTGCACTTTGCAGGGGATGTTTCCCCTCAGTTTAGTAAATGAGGTGAAACTCTCTTGACTTCCATCGCCCAATCATGTACAAGCAAAATGCTGTTTTTTTTTCGTTGCTTTTTTTTTTTTTTTTTTCATGCATGTGAGTTGCCTCAAGTAAATCGACCCCAATATTGCATAAACAGGTAAAATAATGTATCCAAATAATAGGTAAAAGTACAGAACAGAAATTTAACTTCTTTTCAGTTTTGATTATTTCAGTAGTTGTGTTTCATGCATGCTATATTAGAAAATCTGTTCTTCCTTGTTACAGGATATAATGAGAGAAATCTTTTATGAAACATGACCACACTGATCTTTTGTACTAAGTATCTTCATCATTGCTACCAAATTAATTAGGCTTTGATCACAAACTTGTTTTATCTGGGTCAACACATGCACATTCAAATACTAAATTAAATTAGTCTGTGAGCAAATTAAAATATCCACCAAGATGAAACAACTCATATAATAAAATGTCTTGTTACAGAATCAGATATAATGCCTAAACTGACAGCATAAAGAAAATAATGGCCTCTGTTGTCATACCTCTAGTTTTGCCACTTAGCTCCCTTGCAGTCCATAACCCATCCTCTCTTTTTAGACTGTTAGGATGCCTATTACACTGATGGGCCACAACAAGGTTAGGAGGCAGGAGGTTGATTTTCTTAGCTTCAGTCAAAATTTGTAAAAACAAGCACTCTGTCTTTTGGAGCTCCTCGGGTGCTTTGGATCAAATATGTAGTGACAGTTTAGCCTTTATACTAAAGTGACAGATTTGCTTTCATTTTCAGACAGTTCAGAAACAGTTAATCCTTTTGCTCAGTTGACCTGCCCAGCAACTGGGATAGACAGAAGTATTAGACATAGTGCAAGTTGGCTGTTTTCATGTTTATAAATTCAAGAAATTCCAAGTGATTCGAAATTCGCATTCAAAGGTATCTATGGTCAAAAATTACAAATAAATATGTATTTCTATGTTGAATTTCCATAATTTCTATCCCACTCCTATTAACCATATCATTCTAGAACTTTGTAAAATTACTTTTTGAAGATGCCCATAGGATGTACTTCCTCGGTGTAGTAACACAATTTTACTCAGCCCTGTGAATATGCACTTCTGAACTACAACTCAATGTCTGAACAATGTAACATCATCATGACTTTCTATTACAATGCTGATGATATAACGGGATAGTTTATGCTATCATTTGAAAACTATTTTGCCAATAGTAACCAGACAGAAAAAATGAACTGCTATTAATGGTAAATTGAAATATGGTTGTTGCTATTGAATACAGTAATACCTTGGTTTACGAGCATAATTCGTTCCGGCAGCATGCTTGTAATCCAAAGCGCTTGTATATCAAAGCGAATCTCCCCATATGAAATAATGGAAATTCAGATGATTCGTTCCACAACCCAAAAATATTCATATAAAATGATTACAATACTGTACTGTAATATAATACTGTACAAAATATAAGGAAAAATAAACGGTACCTTTGTGGCTGGTGTTAGGGGGACGAGAGAGAGGAGGATTATTGTGTAGGATATGACTTTCACTATCACTAACCGAATCACTGCTATCTCTTGACTCAATGGAATCTTTTTCATTTCGTGAAACCTTAACAAGGAATCTATCCAATGTGACATTGCATTGTCGTTAAACACTCATCGCCCGCACTGCTTCAGCCTTATTCGGTGGTACTTTTCTACAAAATTTTGCTCTTATTGCAAGACATTGCTTGTATATCAAGGCAACATTTTTCAGAAATGTTTGCTTGTCTTGCAAAACACTCTCAAACCAAGTTACTTGTAAACCAGGGTATTACTGTACTATACTTTTATACAGCTTTATGAGCATATCATTGCTCTATACAAAGATGCTCTCATACTTTCTGGTGGCTAGTAGCTAAATATTATACTGATTTTTATAATCTTTCTAATAATAAAGCAAGAAGGGAAAAACTTTACACCATGTCAGGAACACAAATTGGGCTATATGATTAGAACTGGGCTCCCCCCGTTGAGAAAACAGTCTTAAATGCAATGGGAAATCCTTTCTCGTTAGAGGAGATGGTACTGGTGTTAGGGACAGTGCAGCCAGGCAACAGTCCAGGACCAGATAGCTTTCCTGCTTCCTTCTTCAGTTTAAGGAAGATGTAACCCCTATTCTATGCACAACATTTAATGCCATTACTGAGACAAGTCTTTTTACTAGACAATCGCAAGAGGCACACATAACTGTTATCCTGAAAGAACAAAAATATCCAACTGTTTGCAGCAGCTACAGACCAATCTCTCTGATTAACGTAGACATGAAAATATATGCTAAAATATTAGCAAATCTGCTTCATACAGTAATACCTTCAGTTATTCACTTGGAACAGGTGGGTTTTGTTACCAAACACGAAGCCTGAGACAATACGATCAAGACCATCACACTTATATCATATGCTCATAAACTCAAAGTGCCACGGTGTCTCCTCTCACTCGACACAGAAAAGGCTTTTGATCGTTTAGATTGGAATTTTATTCGAGCCACGTTGTTACAGCTGGGCCTTCCTTTGCATTTTATAACAAAGATAATATCGTTATACGATGCTTCCACAGCTAGAATTAAACGGAACACTATCGGATGTCGTAGGTATAAGTAATGGGAGGAGACAGGGGTGTACCCTATTGCCGATCCTCTACACCTTAACAATGGAACATTTGCCAGTTGCTCTAAGAACAAATCCTTCGATACAGGGCCTTAAAATAGGAAATACATACCATAAACTTAGTATCTTTTGTGGATGACTTGTTAATATAAATTTGGAACCCTCTAATTGGCTTTCCGTTGATACTCATGGAGATTGAAAGATATGGAAGATATAGCAATTTTAAGATAAATGTATCAAAATCATCGGTCCTAAATGTGTCTATTACAGAGGAGGAGGAAAAAATTATGAAAGCATCCTTTTCATTTCAGTGGACAGCCAAATGCTTGGAATATTTGGATGTTTATATACCAGCTAATTTAGACCAGGTATACAAATTAAACTATCTAGATCTGTTATCAACCATTTCAGGCAGAGCTACAGACTTGGTCCAATAAGAAGAACTTGGTTCGGCAGGATGTCTCTTTTAAATATGGACATTTTGCCTTAAGTTTTATATCTCTTCCAAATGTTACCAATTAGGGTAACCACACCCCTTTTTAAGACCCTTAGATCTCTTGTAATACAATTTATATGGGGAAAGTCACCACCAAGGCTTAGCTATGACATATTAACTAGACCAAAATCTGAGGGATGAGTGGGTCTCCCAAATATGCATTTATTGTATGTAACAACAATTTTATGAAACAATGTAAAATCTGCGCTTCTGGACTGGGTGCAATGTGAGAGCTGCTGCGCTATGTTTTGTGAAGATAAAAAGGTTTTGAGTGTGCAGCGCTATTAAAGTGAATAAAGTGTAATTCCCTCTTCGGGTATATCAAAAATGTATATAAATAAGTTATGGACAAAGTTAATCAATCCTAAAGGGTAGGGAGTTTCCATAGAGTGAATATGCAAATTTTATATATATAGTGACAAAATAATCTATTGTGTTCCAATGGCGGTGAAAAAATATTTGTGAAATGCCACAACATAAACAATAGTGGAGAGATTGATACACGCTGGTGTGGGGATAAGTCATATAGTAATCTACCATCTTGAAACAAGTGTTGAAGATTTCACTGGATTCACTTTTTTAATTTATCACCGATCACTTTCCTTTGTTTTTTTGTATAAAGAATGAACCACCAGTTGGAATTATTTTAAGTTGTATTGTCCACGGGCAACATAACTGTACACAAAAGTTTAGACATTATTTGATGCACAGTTTTTTCACCAGGAGGATATAAGAATATAACTATTGTTTTTATGTTGTGGCATTTCACAAATATTTTTTCACCGCCATTGGAACACAATAGATTATTTTGTCACTATATATATTAAATTTGCATATTCACTCTATGGAAACTCCCTACCCTTTAGGCTTGATTAACTTTGTCCATAACTTATTTATATAAATTTTTGATATACCCGAAGAGGGAATTACACTTTATTCACTTTAATAGCGCTGCACACTCAAAACCTTTTTAACAACAATTTTATGTACGATAGTAGACTGGATGGCACATACAGACACCAACTTTGGGTAGCTTTAGATCAGGAGCTGATTTCGACCCCCCTGGTGACAATACCCTGGATCCATCCAAGGAATAGACCGCCCTGCTCATAAATTCCAACATTAATTCAGACTTGCCTGGAAATATGGGATTAGTCAATTCAAAAGTATAATATTTCATCATAAGTGGGCCCAATGACCCCTATAATGAGGAATAAAGATTTTCCCCCGGGACTAGAAGCTACTGAGTTTTTATATTGGAAACAGGATATGCCTCTCCCAATAGCACTGAGTCTTAACTCACAAGGAATTAAACCACTGCAAGAATTAGCTTCTTTGACATAACGGGGTGGGGGCCAGTGGTTAGCATACTTCCATGTTAGACAATTTTATACCCACCTATATTTGTCAGGTACCTTATCAAGAACTTTAACTCAGTTTGAGGAGTATTGTTTTAATACTAATAGGAAAGATCATATCATTTCACATTTATATACAGTAGTATATTGCAACCGTGTGCACATATAACAAGGACGTACTATGAGGGAATAGGAGAGGTATTTAGGACACATTATAGAGATAGCGGATTCGGATAAAGCTTGTAGGTGGGCATTTAAAGGTACCATAGAAATCCGTACACAATAACAGAGCTACAAGATTCTGACTAGATGGTATCGATGTCCGGACCGCAACAAATGTTCAATCGGGGGAATATTTTACTTTCTTCTGCTGGGCTAGTTGAGCAGCTATCTCTAGATTGTGGAAAACATCAAAGTTGCCTGCAATAAGAGAATGGATGGTGGGGTTAAATCATATTATGCATATGGAGGAACTATCAGCCATGGGTAAAAAGAAAGGAACATAGCATTTGAAGAAATGCCGATAGACAGCTCTTTGAGCGGGACATATAGAAGGGAAGTAGCTGTTTTCGCCCTTCCTTCCACCATGTAATAGAAGAGATTTTTTTTGCTTTATTGTTTAGTCTTGTCTTGTTTTTATTTTCTCTAGAGAGCCGTACCCACGCTGGCCATTAAAAGAGAGCATTGTGTGTATATACAAAAGTGATGTAAAAGGGTAAAGAGCATGTAGAATACACAATTGTTTTTTCTTAATCCCTTTTGTTGCCTTAAGACTTGTGTTGGAACGTGTTATGTGTAATATTGTTAAAAATTGGAATAAAAAGTTATTATTCAACAAAAAAAATTATATCTATATACATATTTCAGGTCAGGGAGTCATAGTATTGGAGCAAAAAGGTTACAACGGCAACCAGGCAATTCGCATTTTTGGAAAGAAAAGTCAACAATAGCTTCCCCTATGTTCCCCTCCTGGCAGGGTTATTTTAACTGTCATCTTCTTTGTTTGACTAAAATATACACATACATCCTGCTTTACTTGTGAGCTTCTATCCCCTGAATACACTATTTTTACTATTAGTGTTTTTTAGAATAAGAGCATATTACTTTATTTTAACGCTTATAAACCGCAATATTGCAATATCAAAAGCTGCTGGAGGCATATTTAGATTGGATAATGCACAAGTTTTTATATTTATTGCCAGAAAACGGCTTAACACATTCAATGAAATCAGCCCATTTGTGTTAGCAATGCAAAATGCATTCAATAAACATAGCAGAAATTGAAGGGAATTCTTGTGCA